ACATATTTGAACCTTTTTTGTTTTTGAATAGCCACTTGGTGGTCCTTACAGAGTTCCTTACCCTAAATACGAATCCGAAAACCGAATTGCTGGGTCACGTCCAGTTTTCGAAAAAACTGGGTTTTTTTGTAAAAACGGTCGAATTTTTCAGAAAACCAAGTGTTACGTGAAAACTAAAAACGATAGGCAGTTATAATTTGTCGCAGAAAATAGAGGAGACTTGCCCGAACACGTAGCTTGCAAATTTTTAATTTTGCGTATTATTAAATGTTTGTAAACGATGATCAAAGTTTAAAAAAGGGTAGATGCGCGTACTTTGTATGCACTTCTGTTATATGCCTGTGAAAAGTGGTTTGACTAGCACGAATTTGCTATGCGCCATTGGATTCTGCAGATATTTCTGAAGAAGAACCCACCGCGGGAGGCGTGAGATCGGTTTTTCTTTGGGACAGGGTAAGAAAATGTCCACGAAGAGCGCGTGCACGGAACTTTGGCGCTACACGGCCGTCGCTCGCCGGCCACAGCTATGCAGGGCCGTGGCTACGCGCTGTATAGATCTGGATCTCAGTCAGTTCTTATACGTATATATAATGTTTAATTGTTTTATAAATTTTCATAATAGTTATGAGAAAGCTTTTCACGATCTCACGCCTCCCACGGGGGGTTCCTCTTCAGAAATGTCTGCAGAATCCAATGGCGCATAGCAAATTCGTGCTAGTCAACCCACTTTTCACAGGCATGTAATAGAAGTGCATACAAAGTACGCGCATCTACCCTTTTTTAAACTTTGATCAGCATTTACAAACATTTAATGATACGCAAAATTAAAAATTTGTAAGCTACGTGTTCGGGCAAGTCTCCTCTATTTTCTACGACAAATTTTAACTGCCTAACGTTTTTAGTTTTCACGTAACACTTGGTTTTCTGAAAAATTCGATCGTTTTTACAAAAAACCCAGTTTTTTCGAAAACTGGACCTGACCCAGCAATTCGGTTTTCGGGTTCCTTTTTTGGGGTAAGGAACTTTGTAAGGACCACCTAGTGGCTATTCAAAAACAAAAATCGTGTTCCACAGTGTTATCAGTCGTTACCATTTGGAGTACACGTAGACATAGAATAAGCATCAGAATTTGTTCTTATCCTAATAAATTAGTAACGATAAAGTAGTTGTATCGATCATAATTAAGAAATAAATCATATGGCAAGGGGCTAATAAAAGTATAGTAAGAGCATACGCAAAATTTCACATAGAAGACGTTCATACTGTTTTCCACAAAGAAAAATGCTAAAGAACCCATAATTTTCATCGAAAGTAACGAGATTCCTCCTCAAATTGGAAAATACGGAGGGCTGCTGTTAGAATCCCATTATTCCGCATCGCCATCCGTTGTCTATTATAAATCGTTCAAGGATTAATCTATTGCAGTCGCGTTCAAGACCAGCTGCGACTATTCGGTATCGCGCTCACGAGCTGAACGTCTCGTTGAAAATTCTGACGGTACAATTTAATACAGTGGCCATAGTCGGTGTTCCGGAAGTTTGATACGAAGGAGTTAAAGAATCGTTAGGCACGCCGGGATTTGCAGACAGGCCGGCGTTTCGAGGCGCGGCGTGAACACGGGACAAAGGAAGCGGTGGACGGAACTCTATAGTCGTTTGTCATTATTATAAACGGCTCAGCAGTGAACAATTACATCTTAGGGTAGTTCGTTCCACCGCCTACGCAACGTTTACGCCGATTTCTGTGACTGTGCGCGTCGTTGTGACTGTGCTCTTGAAATCCATGCGACAGCGGACTGCTGAAATCTGGTGGTATTTCATCAACTCGCGACACAGAGATTTAAAATTAGAAGAATTAGATAAAGCTTGATGTAATTATAATGGGTAGTATAAAAATTAGTATTATATAAAATTAGTATCGGAGCAGCTGCTTATCTAAACGATGCTCAATATGCTGGTGGTCAATTTAACCAGTTGACTGCGTTCGACCTGTGTACACGTCATTTTAAAACTCATAACAACACGAATTCTTTCAACGATGAATTATTTATTTTTTCAGGTATATATATAATTCTTCTTCGTTTTGCTTTATTGTTAGTGTTTTAATACAATATATTATAAGCGCACTTGCCCTGCGTTTCACTAGTGTACAATTCATCAATTCGATTTTATTGTGAGCATAATGAGAGGTTCCTTAAATTAAATTCCACAGTCAACAGGTTAATTAACTTTGTAAGTTGTTGAAGTTTACTCTTTAAGTGTTTCATGTATTGTCTCTATAATATGTTAACCCCTTGAGGTTAGCAACATATGCGGACGTTTTTAACTATCTACAGTACATTAGGTTGTTCCAAAAGTTTCTTTCTTTTTATTAATATTTTATTATAATGAAAGATGTTATGTTCTATGTTATGCTATTCAATTATGCGTAACTCACTCCGATTTATTATCTCCCTCCGTTTTTCTCGAAGCTATGCAACGCTATCTTTCTAAACTTCCAAGTTAAATATTGTGATAGAATTGCGAAAGAAACTTATACGAAAACTAATACATATAACCAATACCACTAATATTAATATCAATAGATGTATACATAAGAAGTTTTCTATCAACAAGAATCAAATAGTATAAATGTTACCTAAACAATCAATCAGAAACAAGATCAACCGAATATCAATAAACACTTCACACACATAAATATCCACGCAACGAAGGATTCAAACGTCCTAATCAGATTTCCATAAACTCTATCCAGCTAGTCCGATAAAAGACCACTGTCTCGAGTTCCCCTAGCGAAAGACGGTGTCCGCGAACGGATGAACCTTGTTTACACCGGCTTTCAGACGAGAAATCCGCGTCGCTTTGATATCGCCGTGGAAATTTTCATTCCTTCAGGGTTTTTCCGCGCGCGTTCCGGGTAGAGACATCGCTGCGGTGCCGTGCGGCACGGCAGGCGGCTTCCTTTGAGCCAGAGAATCTTCACAAGGTGATTATCTCTGAAGCCATGTATCAAGAGAACCGTCGCAGGTAGACTGCTAGGAAAATGATATTTGAATTCGAATACGGTTCACGACGCGATGTGTGCCAACGCGAACTGGACGTCCGATTTACATTAAATTTACATTGCTATAACCCATGACCGAGATTGATACACGCTGCGCGGAATCTCTCTGGAATATTTCTTCATTTGATACAAACCCACTGGGGAACGTCGATACACGCGTGCCTCCCTCTTTACCTCTTTTTCCTTTTCTGTTTGAGATGCGGAATCATGTCCGTTCATTGAAAATCCAATGTATTCTTCGTTGCCCAGTCACGTATCCCGATGCCTAAATATCGAATCATTACGGAATATACTGGATTTTTCGATGAAGGAATCTTCATTAGAATCAGAGCAGATTATCGCTGACAGGACTGTTTTATTCTTGTTTCGAGGTAAACGAACCAATTACTATTCAGTTCAGGTTATTTACATATAAATACTTAATATTCGAGATGAATACTTTAATATAAATATTTAACACGTTGAATGCTGTAGCGGTCACCGGTGACTCCCAATCGAATCGGATTACTAACCGATACCTAATCGAATTTGAAAAGATTTCTGAATTATAAATAATGCTGCCTAATGCGGTGACATTCAGCTAGATGAACATGCAATAATAATAATGCAATTCAATCAAATGATTTAATATTATATTTCCTCGATTTCGTTATTTTGCTCTATGAAATCGTGCGGCATTCAACGTGTTAATGTAGAATATTTAATAGAAATGTTTGTGACATTTCGGTGAAATATTTGAGACTCAAAGGATTGTTGTCGCTGCATGGTATGCATGAGGAGTGCAGCTACAGGGTGGAGGATATTTTTAGTCATCGGTTTGAGGTTAGGATACGAAAAGTATAACGATTTACTTTTTCATGGTTTAATGGGGTGTTAGCGTTTGGAGTGTAAATGATGGATTTTTTGATTCGTGTTTTGATGGAAAAATGCTGTGTACATAGAAACAGTTGTTTTATAAATATACTTATTGATGTTGGAACGTATTTTTCTGAATTAAAATAAAACCGATCATTTGATTAGATTTATTATAATGGATTGTGCTAGGTATCATGTTCATGGTAGTTTCCTATAAAGATCAAATCGGTAACAGGGAAACGTAATGTAACTTTAATTCAGAAGAAGAGTGAAATTATATTTACTAATTTCTGTTCGAAATATTTGTCACGAATTTGACAGGGTATTATAAGATAAAATTTTGAAATATAGTCAACCCTAGAATAACAGAGTTAATTAGTTTCGTGTTATTGAAAACCATGTTATCCGAGTTTGTATTTTAATAGTGACGAGATTAAATTTCTGTTACAAATAAAGTTCAGACTACAGTACGACTTCAGTATGTACCTTTCCAATTGTACAACATTTTAGTCAACAGCGTAAACCACTGCCACTAACACTAGATTTAAGGACATTTATTGTAAAGTTTATTCTTCTATTCCTAGAAGGATTCATTCTATCCAGGGTTCATTTATATCCAGGGAATTAGATAATAGCATGAATCAAAATCGACCCGAACGTTCACCAAATAATCGTTATAAAATTCACTATAAGTAAAATTGGCGGGTACCGTAAATCTAGTGTTAAGAATTGCTAAAAAGTATATTTTAACACTAAAACTACCGAGAAGTTACATTGACTTTCCAAATTCCTCTGCAGAAACTTCAAGAGCGCATCTCTTACGACTTTAATCGATTTATAATTCAGTTTGTGTATTACTAAATCAATATATTGAATAATTTCGCAGAGAAACATCTGTTATCCTTTTAATAATTGCAAAATGAAGAAATCGGGAATGGGTCATTTTGACCCGTCCGGTAGTTTCAGTGTCAAAGAAACCGTGTAATCGAAGAATCATGTTGTACGAGGCTTGACTGTATATTTTTGAAATCGATCACGAGGCGAATCGGTCGGTCACTTAATCCGCTTAATTATCATTGCAGGTGTCTTGGGTCCGCAGACGCGGAGACGAACTCCATTTGCTCACAATTGGGCAGGAGACGTACGCGAGCGACTCAAGATTCTCCCTCGCGCTGGAGAAACCGAACGATTGGAGGCTAGTTTTACTCTCGGCTACCGAACACGACGGCGGCCTGTACGAGTGTCAAGTCAGCGCCCATCCTCCATTAATCAGAACTGTCTATCTGACTGTGTCCGGTGAGTAAACGGATCTTTGTACGCCTACCTATCCACCCGCATCTAGTTGTCGCTGCGCCGATGTTCCAATTGCGGTGCTAAATTCTAGTATGTATGCCCTTTGATCCGGCTACTTCGCGTGACAGCCATAATAAATCAGATTCGCGTGGTGGATCCCGTACCAAATGAAATACGCCGCGACAGATATCTGCTGATCAGACATAATGAGAGTTTTATGAGGATCAGAGCAGATTATCGCTGATAGGGCGGTTTTATCCTGGTTTCGAGGTAAACGTAGTAATTACCAGCCAGTTCAGGTTATGTAAATATAAATACTTAATATCCGATATGAATACTTTAATATAAATGTTTAATGTAGAATATTTAATGGAAAAGTATGTTTCTGTTGAATACAGGTATAATTATAGGCAGAATGTAAATATTGTATATTGGTGGTTCCTGTTAAGAATGATCTTGATGTATAATTCTTTATCGAAGTCAAATTTAAATGGACCTGTCAAGGATTCGTATCGTATATTGTCAAGGGCACCGCTGGAGTTGGAAATTAATTTTCTAAGAAATATTTGCTTGTTGGTATATGAGGTGTTGATAATCATGGACATAAGTTGTGTGATCTCAACCTGGAAGGCAAAGGTCTCCACCTTTTCCTCGGTGTCCATTTGCGTCGACATTTTGAAATATTTGCTCGGAAAGCACGTGTACTGGCTGGCACTTGGTACTTTCTTGACATTCTTGTACATTCTATATGTTTAATTGTGGATTATACTTGTGAAGTTTATATAAAAAATTGGTATCATTTTGTATATTTCGTCGTTCCAAGTTTCTATCACAAGTTTTTTTTAAATACTGTTAGTTTACTGATACTATTGTAGAATTCTATATTTTGTGAATTGGTAATTGATAGATTGGGTACATTTAGAATGTTTATTTAAAATTCATGGTGCTGAATTTTTTTCAATGAAGAAAATATAATTTTGATAAGATTAAAATGTGTTTAATATATTAAATAATTATAGGTAAAATGAGATATTTGATTATCACTTGAAATTAAAAATTAAAATTTCTATGTGATTGATATATAGTTGTGATTAATATTAAATGGATATTTAATCGTCAAATGCATTATCGATTAGATTAAATATTTATTTGCAGAATGGTCGACTAATTAGTTTTTAAATTATTCAATAACCCTGTCGTTCTTCTATTGCACATAAAGAATTGAACGACTGCACGATTGAAAACCAACAATTAATGTTTACTTAACTTCTCACTTAACGGTTACTTTTAATAATCAACTCTCAATTAGACTAACTTCTTTTAATCACAAGCATTAAACGCTCAACCAAATTAAAAATTCTAATTTATTAATGCCCAGCATTAACTCCTAAAGATTCTTTTTACACCAGTAAATCCATTACGTTGAGCCAATGAAGTTCCATTGAAAGCGCCTTTTAATACCATCAGAATCAACTTAAGTATCACTGCGATCGATTCAACACTCAGCCCGCATTATCAGAACAAAGGAAATAACTATCCTTCTATCTCCCTGAATTCTCTTCCATTACATAAAGTTTTATCGATCACCTGCCGTGCATTACAAATCAACAGTCCACGTTCCACAAACAAAACACGAAGCCTCGAATCAAATCTGACTCTGTCACACATTTATCCGCAACAAAGGAATCGTTTAAGCCGCTATCAAGGATCCATCCGAATAATATTCATGAGCCGAAATTCGGTGTGATCTACCGACCCCTACGCGAAAGACTCTAACCCCGCGAGGGGAGCCAGAATATTCCATAATAAAACGCCCCCACGGGCCACAAACTTAATTATTACAAGCCCGAACGGTAACCCTCTGTTTTCCCCTCTGCCGCAGTCATGCCACGTGAATTATCTCCGAAACACCGTTAAATTCGGGAAGCTGAAACGGCTGCAAAATCCTCATCGATTCCGACGCACCTGTGTCTCGTTCAACGTAATTACTCGCAGCTCCACGGGAACCGTAAAACTCGAGCGGTAAGGATTGAGCCGCGTCGCAGAAAACCCGTGAACGGTTGCATATTACACCCCTCGTCGAGTTAATCTGCCTGCCCCTCGCCCCCATCCCCATCGAGAGAGGAGCCGGTGACAAAAACCAGCCTCATTATTCTCTTAATCTAGCTCCCGCAAAGTATCCCCGGGAAAGTTGGCCCGCTGATACATAATCCGGCGCGTTCCCGTCGGATCATAAATCACGATGGCTCGCGTCGTTAGGGTCGTCCTTGCGCCGCATAATGGCGATCTTGGCGGTGTAACGATGTCCTCTCGCCACTAATCCGCGGATACTACCTGTGCCCTTTCACCCTTTGCGGACGAAGGATCTTTTAATGCGTTCGTTACTGCGTGTACTATTGGGAACGCGCCAATATTTTTTGTGGGAGTGTATACTTTTTTATGAGACGCGTTATCGATGGTGGAACAGAAATAATGACAATATTAACACATTGTTGACACGCAGAAGCTATGGCATGTCGCCGGTTATTATTTCGTAATTAAGTATGAAAGCGAAACAATCTAAATAAATTTCAATATACCTTATTTGTGCATAATGAATTGAAATGGAACTGTGGACATACTATTTATATAACATTTAATATTTTGCATTTGCAATATTCTATGTTGCCCTGTGTTTCAAAGATTGAAATGACTATTGGAGTGCAAATACGAGTTAACTCGTGACCGGTTAACAGTGTATTAAAATGTATAAAAATTACTAATAGTCTGTGGGATGTACAGAGATTTCATTGCGTAAAATAAAACTTGTTAGGGTTGAATATGTATAATGTATTGAAGTTAAATGTGATTATTAAAAGAAAAATGAAAATTAGTAAAATGTTCAAGGATAGCTTTTGACTCTGTTACAACTTCAACTGAGTACTAGTGACGATGACTTTGACAAGAACTGCTTTCTACCTACGTCAATTATCTATCTTATATGCAAAACGAGTCTCTACCATGTGCATGCTTTTGCTTAAGGAGGGATGAGGCTTCGGACTTCTTTGTCTATCAAGACTGTATGACCTTTTTTCTCAAAGTGTCGTATCTCTTAAAACTAGGCCAAAACTATAATTACATTTTAGAGGATACTACAAATGTAACTATAAATTTTTATTAAAAAAGTTAGTCGTTTGCATATTAATAAATCTGAATAAGATTCACCAGTTGGTTGCAAAAGTTAGGACTCAAAAATATCAGGAGGTATAAGTAATACAAATATAA